CACACACACACACACACACACATACACACATATTCTTACAAACGCGAATACATACGCAGACATACACACGAACTCACATTCATACATGCACACCTACATACATACATACGATTCACAGACACAAATCCAGACCTGTAGAAGGTCTCTCTGGATGAGTCATTTTCGAAGGCGAAAATATATAGGCCCGTTGACGTAAATGCCTGACTCCTCATAAAATCAATTTGCTTGAAAATGCAGGATGAAAGGAGGCATCGTCGGGCGGGGCGAAAAGTTTATACAGATGGCGATGAATATGCAACCGGGCATTCATCCTTGGCCCTTCCAGCAGGTCCTTCGCTCCCCATCCCCTCCTCTAACACCCACGCATTCCACTTCAAAACATTCCGCTAATTTTTTCCTGAATTTATTAATTATTCCCACAAGACCCTCATTATTGATCACACGAATTTCCAGTCATCAACGGATAACCACAAACTCAATTTCCCCTCACTTCCTCTCGCACTGCACTTTCCCTAAAAAAAAATTAAAAAAACAATCGCCCCGATAGTAGCACTTTACTAATGCAACAGCAATCATTTACTGCTGACATTCCTTCCTTCGAAGATTTCAATGAAAACAGCAAGTCAATCGCATGCGTCCGGACAGTCTGTGTGGGTACCCCATGTTAGTGATGTCACTGACCGAGCGCCAGGCTCTTCAATACTGGACGCCAGAGCGCCAGGCTCTTCAACCTTCATACCTCCAGTTAGTACCCACCGCTTATTCGATATAAACGCCACCTCTTCCGAGGTAACCAGAGTGGTCGTTTACTTTCTCGTGCACACCAATTTGCTGACAACTAATTCACCACTGACATAAGTTATCGAAGTAAAAATCTTTGACGTTTATGCACATTTAGGATGTGAAAAAAATCCTGAATTTATATGTAAGCAGAGTAGAAGGGACTATGTAGAATTGACAAACAGGATAACTATAAAGTACGTTACGTGTTCGAACTCAGGAATATAGAAATGGACGAAACTTGGAACCTGCTCCTGAAGATGATTGTGTGCTCTCGCATAAAGAAGCTGAAGATGTCCTGTTTCCTCATTTCCCTCCCTCCCCCTCCTCATTCTCTTATCCATAGCTTCCCTGCTTTCTTTACAGAAAAAAATAATAATGCTTTACTAAAGTAAATACATCGTTACTCTCCAAAATGTTGTACTGACAAAAGGAATTCTTCAGTGTCAGGGAAAAAGAAAACAAGGGAAAAACGAAACCTCGTAAGACGAGGACTTTCTGGAATCGTTCCGATGAACTGAATCTTTCCTGGAGCGTTCGCAGAAGTATCTGTGGCGAGTCTTCCGGAGAATTTGCAACATTACTACGATTTTTTCGTTTCATTCTCGTTAGTATTAACGACTGGTTGCTGTTGTTATTGCTGCTATTTACTGGCTTTACGTCTCCCTCACTTTCCGAATAAAGTACCAAATCGACAAGTGTGGAACCATACTTCTCACTGCCAATCTGCGAAAGCATTAGACCGGAACACACCTGCAACAGCGGTGGATAAGTCATCAACAGCTATCGATAATCCACAAAAACTGAACCACACATATGTAAATTATATATAAATTATATAAACATATTATATGCATAAAACTGTATTGTACACAAATTTGTATTTTTTGTAATTCACCCATACATTGCCCATAACGTATGGATCTACTAACTCTTATTAGAAATTGCTTGAATTCGATGTGGATTGTAACCCGCCAACATCTTCAACATGTATTATACAAGTGAAATAATGTAACCAGGAAAGCATGCATTACACAGGCATATTATAACAAACATACAGAATTTCCTGGTAAAAGTCAGATGAATCAATTTTTAGAATAAGGGCCATCTTTGAGTTGCTCTCAAGTTACTCCTGGAAGAGGAAACCATCAACAGTTCCATCAATGAACACAATTGCTACTGGTTAAATGCTATCCCGAATCACTTCCGGGAACCTCCCTCTTTCGTAAGGAG